GAGAGAGAGAGAGAGAGAGAGAGAGAGCGCCTGACCAACCAGAAGAGCGCGAGCCGAGTCGAGTCTCAAGAGCCCGGTGCAATAAGCGAAGCCGGCTTCCACACGACCGCGCTCCACTCGTTAAGATCCGCCCCGCCTCCTCCTTAGCTCCGACCGTCATCGCATCCACCTCAAGCACGACGCCACCCTCCCTACACAACTGGATACGACCCTGGAAGGGCTATATCGACACACTTTGGACGACATGTTTGATCCAATAGAAGCGGCGGTGGCCGACATCAAGGCCGGCAAGTTTGTCGTCGTACTCGACGATGAGGACCGGGAAAACGAAGGTGACCTGATCATCTCGGCTGCGCTCTGCACAACGAAGCAGATGGCGTGGTTCATCCAGCACACGTCTGGCTTTATCTGCATCTCTCTCACGCCCCAACGTATTGCCGAGCTGGCGATCCCGATGATGGTGCCGAACAATACCGAGAAGAACAAGACCGCCTACACCGTCACGGTCGACTACAAGCACGGCACCACCACGGGTATCTCTGCACACGATCGAGCACTGACATCGCGACAACTTGCCGACCCCACGCTGGAAGCCAAGGTGGACGACTTTACAAGACCGGGCCATATGAACCCGCTGCGATACACCGAGGGCGGAGTGCGCGTGCGCAAGGGCCACACCGAAGCAAGCGTGGATTTGTGCATGCTCGCCGGTCTGCCACCAGCAGGATTGCTGTGCGAGCTTGTGGATCCCGATGACGAGGACGGAGGCATTGCCAGCAGGGATGCGTGCCTCAAATTCGCAAGCAAGTGGGGGTTGAAGGTGACGACCATCGAGATGCTCAAGAAGTACAGAGAGGAACACGAGGGAGAGTTGCCAAACGACGTGCGTAGTATGCTCAGCGACGACAAGGCAAGGGGCGTTAAGATCGACGAACAACAGGTCGTCCCCCCCACCGCAACCGCTTAGAACTCCAATCGGCACACTTTTACTCGCTACATTTGTAACATACAATCCCTGGATCGGCGCTTCCTTATGGCTTCATCGATGCGTCTAGTTCGCTCCAATCGTAGTCTGACATTGTCGCAAGAGCAGCATACAGTAGACCCAGGGCGAGAGGGTGAGAGGGTGGGAGCGTGGAGGGGCTGAGTCGCGCGTGACCTAACAGTGCTGCGCTTTCAGGATCTAACAGAGTCATGCATCTAACAGAGTCATGCTGCGCGCGCACCGCCTTTTTTTTGTTCTTCTGCCTTCTCTTCTTTTGGCTCGACTTTGGGCAGCGCCGACGCGTTGCTGAGAAGAATCGGAAGCGGCCGAGCAGCTGAGCCTCAGTTTGGCAGAGGCAGAGTGAAGTGCCGCCTCACCCACGCGCCGCCGCGCCGGAGCAACACTTTTGGAGACAAGGCTAGCTGCACGCTGCGCACTTTGCAATCACTCTCTGCGCTCCACCATCTCTCTGCACCCACATCCGCTCCCAACATCATGTCGGCGCCGATTTTCGCGCAGGAGGCCACGCAGGAGCGTGCGGAGAACGCTCGCTTGAGCTCGTTCGTCGGCGCCGTCGCGCTCGGCGACCTGGTCAAGACCACGCTCGGACCCAAGGGCATGAACAAGATCCTGCAGAGCGTCGGCTCGAACGACATCGTAGTCACCAATGACGGCGCCACCATCCTCAAGTCCATCCACCTCGACAATGCCGCCGCCAAGATCCTGGTCAACATCTCCAAGGTGCAGGACGACGAGGTGGGCGATGGCACCACCAGCGTGTGTGTGCTGGCGGCCGAACTGCTGCGCGAAGCAGAAAAGTTGATCGACATGCGCATCCACCCGCAGACCATCGTCGAGGGATACCGCATCGCATCCGCAGCCGCACTCAAGGCGCTCGAAGATACCGCCGAGGACCACGGTACCGACCCAACCACATTCCGCCAGGACCTCATGAACATCGCACGCACCACGCTCTCCAGCAAGGTGCTCAGTGCAGACAAGGACTACTTTGCCAACCTCGCCGTCGACGCCGTCCTCCGCCTCAAGGGATCCACCAACCTCGAGCACATCCAGATCATCAAGAAGGCCGGCGGCAAGCTCACCGACTCGTACCTCGACGAGGGCTTCATCCTCGACAAGAAGATCGGCACCAACTGTCCCAAATCGCTCAACAACGCCAAGATCCTCATCGCCAACACGTCCATGGACACGGACAAGATCAAGGTGTTTGGCGCACGCGTGCGCGTCGAGGGCACCGGCAAGCTCGCCGAGCTCGAGCGTGCCGAGCGCGAAAAGATGAAGGCCAAGGTGGACAAGATCAAGGCGCACGGCATCACGTGCTTTGTCAACCGCCAGCTCATCTACAACTACCCGGAGAGCCTGCTGGCCGACGCGGGCATCATGTCGATCGAGCACGCCGACTTCGAGGGTGTCGAGCGTCTGGCCCTCGTCACGGGCGGCGAGATCGCCAGTACCTTTGACCGACCGGATCTGGTCAAGATCGGCCAGTGCGGACGCATCGAGGAGGTCATGATTGGCGAGGACAAGCTGATCAAGTTCTCGGGCGTTGCCGCCGGCGAAGCGTGCACGGTGGTGCTGCGCGGTGCCACGTCGCAGATGCTCGACGAAGCGGAGCGATCGCTGCACGACGCCCTCTCCGTCCTCTCGCAGACGGTGGGCGAGACGAGGGTGTTGCTCGGTGGCGGATGTGCCGAGATGAGCATGTCCAAGGTGGTGGATGACGCGGCGCGATCCACGTCGGGCAAAAAGGCGATTGCGACAGAAGCATTTGCCAAGGCGCTCCGACAGCTGCCTACCATTCTGGCGGATAACGCTGGTTTGGACTCGTCCGAGCTCGTCGCCCAGCTGCGTGCTGCCCACCAGCACGGAGACAAGTACGCCGGACTCGATTTGGATGCGGGCAAGCTGGCGGACATGAAGCAAAAGGGCGTGCGCGAGTCGTACAAGCTCAAACGCCAGGTGGTCATCAGCGCCACAGAAGCGGCCGAGATGATCCTGCGTGTCGACGATATCCTTAAATGCGCGCCGCGAAGACGCGAGGCTCACTAGTCCATCCACCTGCATCTACCCATTCCACACTGCGAAACAAGAACCCCTAACACACTCTCACAGTACGATCCAGAGTGTGGCAAAAACAGAATGCAATTGACGAGTGTGGCAAAGTGTCTAGTCGCGTTCGGCGAGACGGTCGAGGATTTCGCCAATCTGCGTCTCGGTGAGCTTTCTAAACCTCCTTTCCTCCTGCACGTTCTTGGGCAGTCCTGCCGAGTCGGCGGTGTCGTCGAGCTGGGCAGCAGCAGCATTGGGACCGCCCACCACGGCGACTTCGAGTTCACTTGGCTTGAGATCCTGTGCCAAGACGGTGGCGAGCGTGTTGACTGCCAAGTCCAGTGTCTGTTCCAGCGACAGACTCGCCGACACCTGTTCGGCCTCGATCGCCGCTGCATCATTTGCGGACGCTGCATCGGTGGAGTTGGTCGACGACTTTTTGAACTGCTTTTCCAAAAAATTGGTCGCCTCCGTTTGCTTGACGCCCGCAGCGGTGGCACGGAAGCCAACAAAGTAGCCTGCCGGATCGATCTTGAAAATCTGCGGTCCACGTTCGGCGTCGATACCGACCAGGATCATGCTTACGCCGTAGGGGCGCATGGCGGCACGCTGCGTGTACACCTGGTTCATGTTCGCCATGCGCTTGGCGAGCAGGTCGGGAGTAATGGCGTATCCGTACTTGTACTTGAAGTCGGCCGCCTCCATCATCGCCCGCTGCACCTGTGCACGTGCATCCGCTACGAAACCCACAGTCAAACCAAAAAGTCAGCATCCAGCAGCCAGTAGCAAGGTCGCAAGGCTACTTACCAACACGGCCGGTCATGATGCACCCGATCTCGGGCGTCAGATTGAAGATGTTCGTCACGCTCGAGGCATCGATCAACTTGTCCTGAGAGCAGCACAGAGGCAGGGGAGGAGTGCGTCAGCGTACGATAGCAAGGCAGAAAGGGCGAGGCGCGCGGGTGATGCTTACAGGCACCTTCTTCTGGCCAACGACAACGGAGCAGTCCTTGCCTCGCACAGCGATGCTGGTGAGTCCTGCAGTGTTGATCGCCTTGAACGCATATTCCACCTGATACAACCTGCCATCGGGCGAGAAGATGGTGAGGTATCGGTCGTAGGACGAGCGCGACATGGCGATGAGCCTGCTGGTGTGCACTCTGATGTGGCCGAGATGCGTCGAGGTCTACTCTGCGAGTCGAACGGGTAAGCAAAGACGATACGGACGCTGTTGGGAGGATGTGACGACGACGGCGAGGTGAGGAGGAGGATGGTGTGGAAGACGACGCGCAAAGTGACACTCTGGCGAAAGTGTGGAGCAACGGGGCCGCACTGACGACGCGGGTCTGAGCGCAGCTGCTGCGTATTCGCGCCCAAAAACGCACCTCCTCAGCTCCACCGCCGCCCTCTCCACTCGATCACAACCACCCCCCACAGCCGCGCATTCTCCAGTTGCCATCCCCGATTTATGCGCAGCTTGATCCGATCGATACAGCTCGAAAAGCACGTGATGCAGCCAATTTTCGAAAAGAAAGAAAAAAGTGAGAGGGTTGCTGCTGCTGCTGCTGCTGCTGC